CCACTCGTCCCCAAGCCTGTAGCGTCCATGAAGTTATTGAGACCTTTCTAACACTCCTCACCGAAGTGGGAGGCAAGGGGTGGCTGGGCAAGGATTCCGAGATAAAAACTCAATAACAACAAAGTTGTTATTAAGCAGGCATTCTTTACTGCAGCACTGGGCAACACTGTGCATTCTCCTCTTCCATAAGTGCTCCAACAAGTTACCAAAACACACCGATTTATATCCAGGAAAAACATACATATTCATCAGATTTCCTGGAAAAGGCAGTTTTATGCTAACAGGTTCCCAGAATTCATTTGCATAGTCTGAACATGTGTAGTAAAATTAGGGTTAGGGTCTTCTCCCCCTCTGGTGGTCATGCATAGTCTTCCTCACACTGTCTGCTAGTTGAATTTTGGGGTTCCTTTGGCCATGTATGGGCCTGGAATGAGCTCATCCATCCTTTTGCCCTGGAATGTCAGCTTAAACCAGCTCCTAGGTGCTTATCTTGGTCCTCTTTGGAGCTTATCTTAACATCTTGGGCCACTGTTATCAGGGATGTACCCAGAAAGCTTAAAGGAGCATCTCAAGACCTAGTTGATCTCACCAGGCAAAAAGTTACATGTAAAACCATGCAAGTGATGCTAGGAAAAGAATAAAAGTGAAGCTTCTCTATAACACAATAAAAATACGAGTTAAAACTTCTATGTATCGACTTGGGAGGGCCAAGGAACAGAATTGTAATTTTATGAGTCTGGGGACAAGAAGCCTTACTCGAGTCTTTCTGAAATGGAGTTGTCCTTTAAACTGCACAGAATCCTTTCAGAAGAAGGGCTTCAGTGTGAATGAAGCCAGCGTTGGAAAAGGAGGGGACTGCCCCAGCCATTTATTAATGTCAAATATTGCCGTCCCATGAATCGGGGCAGTTTGTCTGGGTTGGAAGCCTCACAGAAGGCCCCATGCACCTGGCGTGTTGAGCCCAGCACCAGGCTTTAGGCTGATCCAAGAGCATGGCCACGTTCTGCCTTTTGAATAGTTTGTCCCACAAACAATTTTTTTTTTTTAAAACAGGCTTTTATTGAAGAACCATCAGCAAACAGATCATGCAGAACCTGAACAATACACAGAATAGGAGGGAGGGGGAAGACCCACACAAGGCACAGCCCCAATTATTTGTCACTTCATAAAATCAAGCCAGCACAAGTGTCACATTTGCTCTTCAAGAATGGCTTCGAAAGCTTCCTGATTTGAAAAAGCTCAGTGTTTATATGGCACACACACACACACACACACACACACACACACAAAATACACCCAGAGTTTTCTTTGGCAACCATCATCGCAGTGGCAGATAATTCAGGATTAGGACAAACAGCAAAGGAAGAAATAAAGCCCCGATGCAGATCGGGTGTGCTCAGACATTATCAGCAGAGAGAGTCTGGGGCCAGCCCTGACTGTTCAGTGCAGAATGGAAAAGCCATCTGAGGCAGCTTTGAGTAAGAAACTGCCAGAAAACTCAGGAAAAAATAAAAATAAAAAGATAGTTACTTCTTTTAGTTACTTCTTTTCCAGCATTGATTCCAAAGGGTGAGGGCTGTTTAGCTGCTTTACGAACGGCACAGCCAGTTTCCCTGTGCCTTCCCCACCTCTCCAAGAAAAACCACAGTAAAATGTGATGTCTGTTCCCAGTTATATTCTGTATCTCCAGTTAATGAGGTCTGAAATTCAATCGCACTGAAGGCAGCAGGAGTTTCACCATCAATAGCACTGACGTGTACTCCACTGTATAGACCAATGGTCAGGACAATTCCTAACACAGCAAGGAAGGCATCAAGCCTAGAGCAGGAACTCTTGATGGTAAAGAAATGCATTTGAGAAGAGCAGAAGAGGAAAGCAAGCCAGAGTAGACAGCTCAATCCATGCACTTTGGCTAAAGTTTATTTCATGACAACGTTCTCCACCTATCCACTGCCTGCTTTTCTCATGGGCACAAGCAATGGTTAGAACGGCAACACAGGTGAGGAAGGAGTGAAATGTTCAGGTGACCAAGGCCTGGCCCTGCTCCTGGCAATGCCAATGGAGGTACAACAGCCACGGTTGTTGCAGTACCACCTCAGTTGTTGTACCTGGCCTTTTCAATCCACTGCTTCATGTAGCAGATTTCCAGGGCTCGAGCTTGCTGCACAGATTTGGGGTCCAAAGGGTTGCGGCTGCGTAGGTCCAGGTGATGGGCTCCATCCGGGATCACGATCGCCACCAGCGAATCAGTGATGTTGTGGGTCACCCCACCTGCAGACCATGGGTCCAGGCCACCATTGCTGTAAGAAGAAAATACCTCATATGGGTACCTCTGCACAGCAGTCATCAACATATCAACATGGATTTTCATCTAATTTTGAATTTAATACAGACAGAAACAGGCCCCAGCTTTGTCTCAACGTCTTATGCCCACTCCTCCACTGAGAGGAGCCTTCTCAACACAGGTACAGAGCAATTAGCAGCTACAGCAAGGCTACGCTTCTGTCACTAATGATCATTAATTCAGATAATAAAATACAGTAGTGCCACAGCCTCTGGAGACAGATCTGCTGCGACCCATCCTGGACATAAGGGTTCAGGTTCCCCTCTATTGAGACATGTCCAAATTCACAATACAAAGCATTTTGCTTTCCTTCTTCACAGTCTGCCATAAGCTAACAACCAACCGCACCCTTTATAGCTGATTTTTCAGGAAGTTCTCTCTTTTGCTGTCTCAGCTGCGTGCCAATCTGGTGTTGCAAAGAAATACTTGGACCTTCCGTTAGGTGCTTTATTTCTAATAACAATCATATTAAAATAAAGCTTTTATACCTCAAGGAAGTGTCTAAAATTACTTTTACGCTGTGAGAGTTTGGCATCTTTCATTCCTCACTTTGGACTTGACCCATTAATGCCTAAAACATCCTATTTTCCTTTACTGCAACATTTTCCCACATGTGGTCCATCTTTCTGCATAAAGTCAATATCCATACACTTATGGAAAATCTAGATCTAATCTAGATCAAGTCTAGATCTGCTCCTCACTTCAAACACTGGACCTGCCCCCAAAGGGAAACATTAGAGATGGGCTATTGTATGTGAGTAGAAATTTCTAGAAGTATCTAAGAAACTAAAACATCCTTGGACATTGATATGCAGCTAGGAAAATACTACAGTGGCAGCATCAGAAAATAACAGAAAGCAATAAAATGGTCATAAATCTTAAAAGTTTTACAGAATAAGATCACAGAATCATGAAGGTTGGAAGAGACCTCTAAGATCATCAAGTCCGACCTCAGCCCAACCCCACCATGCCCACTAAACCATGTCCCCAAGTGCCACATCCACTCACTTCTTGAACACCTCCAGGGATGGGGACTACACCACCTTCCTGGTGAGCCCCTTCCAGTGCTTGACCACTCTTACAGTCAAGAAGTTTTTCCTAATATCCAATTTGACCCTCCGCTGGCACAACTTGAAGCCGTAACCCAATTTTCTTCCTCCTCTGGACCTGCTCCAACAGCTCTACATCCTTCTTACACTGGGGGCCCAAGAACTGGATGCAGCACTGCAGGTGAGGTCTCAGCAGAGCAGAGCAGAACAGAATCCCCTCCCTGGCCCTGCTGACCACACTTCTTGTGATGCAGCCCAGGATGGGGTTGGCTTTGGGCTGCAGATGCACATTGGTGGCTCATGTCCAGCTTCTCACCTACCAGTGCGCCCAGGTCCTTTTCCTCAGGGCTGCTTTCCAGCACAGCATCTCCCAGTCTGTATTGGTAATGAGGATTGCCCTGACCCAGGTGCAGGACCTTGCACTTGTCCTTGTTGAACTTCATGAGGTTCCCCTGGGCCCACTTCTCCAGGTCTCTCTGGATCATGATTCTCTCTATATATCTATTCTATATATATGTAAATATTCTATAAGAAATACCAGATTTCAGACTGCCCACATCAAATTTAATCCTGTATGATAGAACCTGGGGTGATTTTCACTACCACAGTAAGTTGATGATGAGACACTACCAAGCTCTCTGCCACCACATTCCTGAACAGCATTAAAGTGCCATTTCCACCACTGAACATGTACCACTAAGAACATCATGAGTGGAAACTGCTGGAAGAGAAAGGCCAAGCAGGTTTCCAAAAACCCCCAATGTCCTTAAAATAGCAGTTTAATAAAGATGCACTGCCCAGGATAGGCAATATCTGCCTAAGTAACCACTCACACACTATTTACCTTCAAGAAGGTACCAATGATACCACACGACGCAGCGTGAATCTGCACAGTGACGTACTTCTTGCAACACCAGTTAGAGCATCCTGGCCAAATGCCACTGTGGATGGATAAATCCACCCTTCAGCAGTACATTCAGATGGAGTATTCTTCTCTTCCTGCTCTGAACTGCTGTGCAAATTGCCCAATACTCGAAGCACAGCGTGTTTTATCCCACAGGAAGCCCCATCCCCTGGTAAACACAGGGATAATCTTTTGGTAAAGCACTCTGCAGTATTTGAGGATAAAAGGCTCTTACATAAAACGTACAGTGTTGACAATGTATTTGTTTGAAGAGAAACAACCCAGCTTGAGAACAAAAGCTTTGTGTGTGCAGCACCACTTCTTCATTCATTTGGCTGCTTTCAAGCTTTTCTCGTTTCAAACTTCTTCAGCTGGCATCCATTCCTAAACACTTATTTAGATTTGTTTGCTTGTCTCTCACTTACAAAGCATATTTCTACTGTACAGAGCTGCGAAGCCTTGGAAATAAGCAATGCTCTGCAGAAATTAAGTTAAACCAACAAATTCTTTTTTTATTTAATTTAAAAGTTTTCCTAAAAAAGGGTGAAATTCCTCACTCCAGAGCGCATAGGCTGCTGTGAGAGAAACAGCAAGAGGCAAACCAGAGGAAAGCCACAGGTCTTTAGAGCCAAACAGACCAATGCTAACAGCTGAAATCCACAGAATAATCCCAAATTCAGGTGAGGACTTTCTATTTTTCAAATACACACCTACTTACCATTTCTTTCACTTTTTGTGGACAAAGGTGTTTCAGAAAAACTTCTGTTGTATTACCAGTATGCCTTGCTTGAATGGAAATGTCCCTTTGTATGTGGATCTTACACAAGTTCGTTGAAATGTGCCTAATTACCTCTAAAAGAAAAGGGCAATTGGCAGTGGTAGGAAAGTGCCCCAAGTCACTTCCCTCTCTTTTCTGTATTAAAGGGAAATGCTGTCACCCAGAGAAACAATTTTAGTGACCAAGACCCAAGGGCTTGTTCAGACTTTGCTTTTACGTGGAAGAGACAGTGTTCTCGCTTGGTAAAAGTGAGATGGATTTACCAACATGAGAAACCTGGACTTCAGCCACAAGATAAGGAATCCACATGGGAAGAAAATTGCATTTGGCAGAATCAAGATTCTTCTATTAGAGCCACACAGGCAGCAACAAAAGAGTTGGCTTCGTTAGCCACTTCAGATTGACCATTTTACCCATCATTAATTCAGCTGGAGCGTTGGAGACAGATCCTTTTGCTACTTTGGGCAGGCTTTTTGTACTGACAACCCAAACTGGTAGACAACTCCACTTCAGAAGCTGAAACAAGGCTCACCTGAAGATGATGTTGCTGTGTGAACTGATGTTTTTCCCTCCAAACATGGAAAGGATCCACGAGGGGCGAGGCCTCACTCCCCACAGCCTGTAACACTCTTCGGACAGTGCATCGAAGTCCCATTTCTGAGGCTCGAACATGTCATTGACACCATCTGTGCACATGGGCATCACCATCTCAGTGCAAGCCTGAAGGAAAGAGCAAGACCACAAGCTGTATTCCTAGGATACTGTCCAATACCTGTGAGTGCAGTATTTAAATAAGCTCAAACAGCATTTGATCACTAATTAATGTCCAACTGTCATAGAAACACTTAGCGCAGAAAAGATCCTTAAGATCAAGTCCAACTGTTAACCTAACACTGCCATGTCCACCACTAAACCACGGCCCTAAGCACCACATCTACACATCTTTTAAACACCTCCAGGGATGGGGATGCCACCACTGCCCTGGGCAGCCCCTTTCAGTGCTTGAAAAGCCTTTTCAGTGAAAATTTTTTTCCCCATATCCAATCTAACGCTCCCCTGGTGCAACTTGAGGCCATTTCCTCTTGTCCTATCACTGGTTACATGGGAGAAGAGACCAACACCCCCTTGCTATCCCCTCCTTTCAGGAGCTGCAGAGGGGATAAAGTCTCCCCTCACCTCCTCTTCTCCAGTTGAAACCCCCAGCTCCCCATCAGCCGTTGCCCATCATTCGGGTGCTCCAGATCCCTCCGCAGCTCCCTTGCCCTTCTCTGCCCATGCTCCAGCCCCTCAATGTCCTTCTGGGAGTCAGGGGCCCAAAACTGAACACAGGATTCGAGGGGCGGCCTCACCAGTGCCCAGCACAGGGGCACAATCACTTCCCTGCTCCTGCTGCCCACACCAGTGCTGACAGAAGCCAGGATCGTGTTGGCCTTATTGGCCACCTGGGCACTCTGCTGGCACATAAGGACAACTTATAAAGTCTGCACATCTGGAGCTGTCCAGAATACATAGGAGACAGTAGCCAAGAGCAGATGGTCCCAACCTGAACACCAATAAAACCTTGCTTCTGGAAGCAGCTGCTCTGCTCTTCAGAAGAGAAGATGCAAGTGTTGCATGTGCTTAATAAATGGGATGGGGAGCAGAAGGTCCTGGACCCCTTACCATAGGGATCTGTATTTTTGTTACCTTCTTGATGGGAAAGGTTGGGGCTCAGTGAGCTACAGGATAAACAGCTTTAGTTGAAGAAAATCGTATTATCATATCCTGGCATATTTTCTTGCATAAAACTGAGGTGGACAAATGGGATGGAGGGATTAGAAGACCACGACACTGCTGCTGTACATCATTTTCAGTCAATATGAAGAGCTGAAACTCAATAATTAGCTGAATAATGAAGAGACAGCCTGGGAAAGCTGCTTCTCTTTTGTGCCCTGCCCTCCCCACTTACCATCACAGAATCACGAAGGTTCGAAGAAACCTCTAAGATCACCAAGTCCAACCATCAACCCAACCCCAACATGGCCACTAAATCATGTCCTGAAGTGCCACATATATCATACTTGCTTCACCCTTACATTTGTCATCAGTACAACAATTAAATCTGGTGCAATATATTGAACAGTTGAATTATTTGACAATTCTCATCAGCTCTAGCACCAAGATCCTTACAAGATCCAATCAGGAAGGACAGAGCACGCACCTGATAGTACCAACCCAACTGGCCCAGATTCTTCGTTGCAGTCTTGGACATGTCTAAGCAAGAGGCTTCTCCCGAATAATTGTAGTACAAATTCACTGCCTGAAAAATATTCTGCAGCAATAATTTATCGGGGAGAGTGGGATCCTTCAAGAACTTGCAGACCTCCTGCAATGAAGACAGAAGGGATGTCTAAATCCACAAGAAATTAAGATTAATACGTGACACCTGATGGGATATCGATTTCTTTTTGAAATACAGTGAGACCACTTCCAGAAAGCACCTTTTATGCAATGATATACCCTGAGCATTATCATAAAAACCAGTATTGCATTTGTGTAGTGCATGCTACCATGAGGAACCTGAAACTTTACATTCCCCACTTAAAACTTTAAAACCAGTGCAACCTTAGTATTTCATTCACCGAGATTTGGAATCAATTTCCTGTTCTTTGAAATGGATAATACTTAATAAAGAGTATTTAGCTCCTCTGTAATGACTACACACGCAAATATATAAGAAGAAAGCTCCAGGTGTAGTTTAGGGTTCCCTGTAGTTTGCTGTAGTACAAATGGAAACATCCACATAAGGATAGTTGTAATATTTTTAAGTCCTTTTATACAGCAGAATTGCAAAACTATTAATCATTCGTGTTTGGAAAATGTGAGCTCGTGGAACAAGGCACTTTTTTACTGGTAGAAAAATTAAGAGCAATCTTAGACAGAGTTTAACTCGAAATCTAAACTGAGGGCACAAGTAGTGGAAAAATCAAACCAAATCAAACAGAAAACACAAAAGCTACTTCCCCAGAAAGTCTTTTTCATCTCAAAACATCTCTTTTAAAGTCACAATATTTATTGGGCACGGCTTTCTCCTCATCCCTGCTCCCATGCAGCTGGGACTAATACAGGAACAGTGAAGGGTAAAAGCTGTGAATTTGAGCTCCCAGCCCATTGGAAGAACCCAGAATTATTTACTGGGTGGTGTCAGAATAATAATAAAGCAGAAATAGTTTTCAAGATGTTCATAGTGTCTTTTGCAGACAGCAATACAGGACACATGAATGTCCCTCCACTCCTCCATCATGTAGCTCTACACAAGCAAAATTCTATATACTTTATACTTAACTATCATTTAATAGGAAAAAATACTACTATTTTATCTACCTTACCTGCCATACACAGTAAAAGAAAACCATGCATCAGCGGCTCTAATTTAATATGATTTTTGGGCAGCATTTCTGCTCCTCAAGAACAACAGTGCAAGACAGTTGATTTTTCAGTCATGGAACCACTTGGGTTGGAAAAGACCATCAAGTCTAACAATTAACCCATCGTATCTGGCACTTTTTTTCTTCTGGGCTCTTGATGCAACCCATTAACATGTGGCAGTGTGTCAACAAACCAGATGATGCACAAGAAAATCACAGAGTCACAGAATCATTAAGGTTGGAAGAGATCTCTAAGATCATCAAGTCCAACCATCAATTCAACCTCACCATGCCCACTAAACCATGTCCCCAAGTGCCCCATCCATGCGCTTCTTGAACCCCTCCAGGGATGGGGACTCCACCCCCTCCCTGGGCAGCCCCTTCCAGTGCTTGACCACTCTTGCAGTCAAGAAATATTTCCTCAGATCCAATCTAAACCTCCCCCGGTGCAACTTGAGGCCATTTCCTCTTGTCCCATTGCTTGCTACTGGGAAGCAACACCAACAGCCCCCTTGCTATCCCCCTCCTTTCAGGAGCTACAGAGGGGATAAGGTCTCCCCTCACCTCCTCTTCCCCAGGCTGAACCCCCCCAGCTCCCTTAGCCGCTGCCCATCATTTGGATGCTCCAGATCCCTCCCCAGCTCCATTGCCCTTCTCTGGCCACACTCCAGCCCCTCAATGTCCTTCTGGGAGTGAGAGGCCCAAAACTGACCCCAGGATTCGAGGGGCGGCCTCACCAGTGCCCAGCACAGGGGCACAATCACTTCCTTACTCCTGCTGGCACTATCTACCCTGGTTTTCTTTTTTTCAGCCATGTTGACTCTACAGAGCCAAAAAATAAGGGAAAGGTACAGACTGGGAGAAAAGGAAAGAATTAGTGAAACCAAATGGTCCATGTGGTCAGTGGTCACGAGACACTGTTTCTCAGTTACCTGTATGGGCCATGCTGGCAGAGGCTGTAAGAAATCAGCTTTATAGGGGTAGTTCACCATAGCCAAATTCACCCACATTGTACTCAGCCAGTTTTTCAACAAAACAGCATCCTGAAGATTTTTTAATGGGCTGCACAAATGAAATGCGCTGGAAAGCCACTGTAAACCTGCATCTTTAAGCAAAAAAAAAAAAATTAAAAAATGTTTTTGTATTTTAACACATTATTATATTATATTAACACATAGGCCAGTTGTGCTGCTACTAAATAAATCAATCAATCAATAAAAATCACTTAGCATAACCAACCTGGTGAAATTTTTCCATGTGCATACAAGGAGAGCAGATCAAATGTTAGTCAGCACCTCTAAGTGAAAGGAAATACAATCTGCACACTTCAGTGTACAGGTATGTCACAGTTAAGATAACATTATATTTTAAAAAACCCAAATAAACATAAAACTCAACCCAAATCTACAAGACTTTTTTTGATAGGACGTAACATAAAGGCACTCTTCTTCAAATGAAAGGAAAATTTCAAACCAGCTATAGCTCACAGTGTAATTAACAGAAAGGTTTCTAGGGACTCTCCTGGCCTTTCTTCAATTTAATCTAGTCTAGAACTCATCCAGTTCAGCTGCCCTGAATTTAATTAGCTAACTCATCATAGTGGGCTTTCCATTTAGGACACTGAAGTAAAGTAGCAAGATTTTTTTTATTATTTAATTCCTTTGCTGTACAGTGAGCTCATGTGATATAGAATCACTGAATAATTTAGGCTGAAAAGGACCCTTAAGATCAAGTTCAACTGAGTCGCCAGCACTGAATCCATAAAGACTGCAGTGATTTTCTACACCTAATTGCCTCTATTGTTATTTAAACTATTTTTTGAGAGTAATGACTCTCTGGGCTACGTTATCAGAAAGGAAATCAAGCCTTGAGGCTATGATCTGGAGTCAGCTCCTGTCTGACCTAAGGAATGTTTGGACCTGGATTCTGAACCACACCAGTGTGAATGAAACTTGTGATCCAGTAAAACACATATCACCGAATCACAGAATATGAGGAGTTGGA